ATAATGCCTTTTGTAACTGTTTCCATGCAGGTACAGAGGTGAGTTCCATCAGATAACAGTGCCACTAAATTTTCACGTTGTGATAATCCACCTATACGACGTATTCTCCATGTTTCAATAATATTCCCAAGTTCAATACCACTTAGAAGTGATTGTAATGTTACTTGGGGTTCGTCAACTAGATTCTCTACAAAATCAGTACTGGTGGTATTAGACTCCAAATCCTATATAATATATAACAAATGAAGTAAATATTAATATTTTCATATCAAACTTAAACACATGATTTGCGAAATGATTTATTACCTCAATAAATGATGTTACCAATTGACCTTCATAAGTAAATGACTGAGAAATCTGAAACCTTTGCCATGACAATACAAGTGGTGTTAAGAAATGGATAAGAATTACGTCAATATTAGAAAAAAACTGGGATGATAAATGAGGAATCCCAACTGTTGTTTGACGTGCTTTAAGATCAATTAGTTGACAATATTTGGATTCACTTTCATGTCTTTTGTCAATAGCTTTTTCAACGTCACAGAGAGTGCTAGTGCTGTTTACTGCTTTCTTGATAATAGCATTAAAAGATTCAACGCTTTGAGTACTCTGTATTCCACCATTAAATTGGAATGGTAAATAAGATTTAACCCAACTAGAACGATTAGGATATAAAGCTTTTGTCATATAAGATTGACATTCGACATTCTGGAAATAAATCTATCATTGATTTCCATTTTTGTTCAAATAATTCAATACTTAAAGCATTTCGACATGAATAAAATGCTTTACTAAAAGAAAGAAAATTTTCGCCTAATTTTGCTTTAAGATGTTTTATAATATTCTGCCATATATGAAAAAGACAGTGAAAATGAGATGTTACTGGGAAAACGTGAGATGCTGCATTGATTAGACCAGGTTCAGAATCAGTCCAAAATGATTTTGGAGCCAAATTATTACAGTCACCCCTCTCTACAGCGAACCTCGATATAGCGAATAACACGATATAACGGATCATACAGTGTGGTACCGATTTTAAATATGAAAAAAACCTTGATATAACAAAGTTTACTATTTATTTACCATATAACGTAGTATGAAGTAAAGTGTGTGAATTTCTTATATAAAAATGCCTCTCGATATAACGGATTTTTTTTATAACGAATTTTTTTTCAGTTATAACGAAGAATTTCTATAGTTTATAATTAAATGTAATTATTAATAAATATTGATGCATTATGACATTAAATATCACCCCTGTGTTTTATATTTAAATTATGGATCAGGATTGTATCAGGATCGTATCAGGATTAATAATTCTGGCTATTTTATTTAATATTTAGGCAGAATTACATTAATTTACATTAATTCGGTTGTATTAGGATTCGATGTGAATTGTTATTAATTTATATTTATCACAGGGGTAAGGACACTCCTAGTTAAATTAATATATCATTAATAATTTATTTATTATATAGTCAGTTATTGTTAACCAGCATTCCTACAAAAAAAAGGAATTATAATAAACATTTTTATATAGAACACTTCAGGAAGCATTCCCTATAATAAAAAAATAAAAAAAGAACATTAGTAAATGTTCTTAAATAAAAAAAATTGAGTTCCCCACTTACTTCTCGTCTCAGGCGTCCATTTCGAAGTCCAGGAAGTTCCCTACAATAAAAAAAATAAAAAAAGAACATTAGTAAATGTTCTTAAACGAAATTAATATAAAAAACCCCCCAGTTCCCACTTACTTCTCATTCTAGGCATCTATTTTGAAGTTTAGAAAGCACCCCTATAAAAAAAAGATTAAAAAAAATGTTAAATTATCGGTAATCAGATCAACAAGTCACATGATCTGTATAACCGATATTCCTATACCGAAGAATTCGTTATAGTGTTAACGAAGTTGCTTATAACGAAGCCCTGATCAGCTGGAACCTAGGGTTCGTTATATCGAGAGGGGACTGTAGTTGCCTTTGTTAAGCATTGCAGGATCCACGTATATGTAGATGCCATCTCATCCTCTACAAGTGCATTTGCCATATTCCTGAACCTTCCATAATTATCCCTGACTATGAATACACTTAGATACATGTTGTATTTGTTAGTTTTGCATGTATTGTCATTCAATAATACATCATGAAAATGGTGATACAAGTCCTGCTGCTCATATGACATCCAAAAAATGCCCGATAAATGACGTTCATTACCAGAGTGACGAATGAACACTTTCCAATTCGGATCCTCAGTCATTTTTTCAAAAAGACTATTAAGAAATGAACCAGAGTCTGGAGATTCATCTTTACAATTTTCACGTAGCTTATAGATTGAATTATAGACATCTTGCTTATGAAAAACATGATGTGGATGTTTTTTCTTAAGAATCTCTAATTGTATAATTGGCTCAACCTTGCAATCTGTAAAAAATCTCAAATCCTGTACCATGTCATCATTGAATTGACGATATCTTGCATTAAGATGAGCAATCTCAGTGGGATTTAATTCATGATTATGTACATCTACTAATGTTGTACATCTTATTTGTTGCTCTGTTTTTGGTAATTTGAAGTTGCAATGCCACTCACATCCTGTTTTGTTAGAGTCTCGCACACGATGTTCATTCTGATCAATTTTCTTACGTGCCTCATAATTACCACTCAGAGAACAACGAAATGATTTGCGACGGGTAATAGTATGATCATTTAAGTCTTTATCATTTTGATAAACCTGATAACCAAAGCCTCTTTCTAGGCAATATTTATGTATAAATCTATCAACAGATTCCCAGTCATCAAAACTATTTCCAATAGTGAGATTATACTGATAAGTAGAATAATCAGAAGTGCTTGTATCGTTAGATAAAGGTTCAGATAGTTTTATAGATTCTATTGCATTAGATAGAGGTTCTACAACGGAAAAATTATTGTTTGGAGGTATACTAGTATCTTCAACGGAAAAATAACTATTAGGAGGTATAGTAATATTCTCTAACTCAACGAAAAAATAACTATTAGGAGGAGTAATATTCTCTAACTCACTACTATTACTTTCGGGAAAAGGTGTATAAAAGGTATCTTCGCTATCTTTGGGAAAATTTATGTAGGATATCCAGTCTAATTCCATTATGGTAAAGAATTTGCAAGGATAAGCGATACTGCATTAATTATCACATCTTTATAAACGAAAATAATTTAGTGAGACAAACATTTATTTGAAAGTGTTTGTATGACATACAAATAGGGTGAAAATCACCTGAGGTGAAATGAAATTTAAAAATAATTAAATTCACCTCGGGTGAAAAAAAATTTAAAATCACCCGAGGTGAAATAATATTAAAATTTATTTAAAATAACCCAGGGGTGAAATTAAATTTAAAAATTAAAGTAATCACCTCGGGTGATTAAAATTAAAAATAACCTGGGGTGAATTTTAAATTAATTCTTTTTAAAGATAGTTTCAAAAATCTTTCAAAACTTTATTTAGGAAAACAGTATTTGTATCAAACTGATTTTTTGTAAAAAATATTTAAAAAAATGTTTTTTAGTTGAAACGTTTTTTTAAGATAATTTTAAAAATTTTTAAAAATTTTACCTACAGAAATGATATTTACATTAGAATCAATTTTTTGCAAAAAATATAAAAAAAAAAAATATTTTTTAAAGAAAGTTTTAAAATTCTTTCAAAACTTATCTTCTTTACAAAAGTATAAAAAGAAATATTTTTTACGTTAAAAAATATTTTTTTAAAGAAAGTTTCAAAAATTTTTTGATTTAATAAAAAATTATCAAATTCAATATATATACATTTACATAAAGCTCTGAACAGGTCAGTTTAGTTCAGATTATAGACGGTTTGGATTAGAGCCAAAATCTGTAAGAACTGAACTGAAAAACTGGCAGTTCAGTTCAGTTTAATCCAATTTTTATAAAAATGTGAAAAATCGAATAGCTATCTATCTAGTGATCATACAAAGTCGAGCCATATATCATTGGATTCATCTCGATGAGATGCATTGAATGGTGGTAAAATCATGTCTTTAGCATCGATAGATCACATGTTAACTAACGCTAAATGATTTATCAATAATTGGAATTAGCAAGCCATCTATTGGTGCTGGAGATATGATCTTAGCACCATTCGACGCATCTCAATAAGACGAATCCAATGAATATAAATTTGTCTGTGTATGACCACTGAATGCGAATAATATCAAGTTTCGCATTTTTTTAAAATTTTCGAGTGTTATAAATTAAAAATTCTGATACATGAATTTATTCATCATCCAATAATCGTACAAATATGAATTAGAACTCATTAGATTCATCTCGATGAGACAAGTTGAATGGTGCTAAGATCATGTCTCTAGCATCGATAGATAGCTTGCTAATGCCAATTTTTTATAAATCATTTAGCGTGAATTAACTTACGATCTATTGATGCTAGAGACATGATCTTACCACCATTCGACTCATCTCATCGAGATGAATCCAATGAGTCCTAATTCATATTTGTACGACCATTGGATGACGAATAAATTCATATATCAGAATTTTTAATTTTTAACGCTTAAAAATTTTAAAAAAATGCAAAACTTGGCATTATTCACTATCCAGTGGTCCTATACAGATGAATTTATATTCATATCTCACTAAGACGTGTCGAATAGTGCTAAGATCATGTCTTTAGCACCGATAGATAGCTTGCTAATTCCAATTATTTATAAATAATTTAGCATGGGTTAACGTGTGATCTATCAATGCTAAAGACATGATCTTACTGCCATTCGACGCTTTTCATCGAAACGAATCCAATGATATATGGCTCAACTTTGTACGATTATTAGACGGACAGCTTTTTGATTTTTCGCATTTTTATAAAAATCAGATTAAATCGAACTGAACCGCCAGTTTTTCAGTTCTAATACCTGAACTGAACTGAACTGAACTGAATTTTGAGCCGGTTTCAGATCAGTTCTCCAGTTTAGCCTAAACCGTTCAGAGCTTTACATTTACATAAAGAACTAGTGCTCTACATGAGCCAGCTTAAACTGAATTACAATTTGGCCTAGCTCAGCTTGAAGATTTGCACCAAACCAAGCCTAAAATAAGCTGAGCCACAAAAAATCTTGGCTCAGCTCAGTTTAACCCAAGCTGAGCCATGAAAATCCTGACTTAAGCCAAACTGGGCTCAAGCTGGCTTGAGCTTTATTATAAAAATGTTTTCACAACATTTTTCTTTAAATTATTTTTTTAATTTAATGTAAAAATAACGTTTTGCAACGTTTTTACATTAAATTATTAAAAAAAATGTTGCAAAACATTATTTTTTAACTAAATAAACATTTTCGCAATGTTTTTACTTTAAATTATTAAAAAAAATGTTGTAAAATATTTTTTTTAATTAAATTAATATAAAAAATAACGTTTTGCAACATTTTTACATTAAATTATTAAAAAATGTTGTAAAACGTTATTTTTTAACTAAATAAATAAACGTTTTCACAACGTTTTTACTTTAAATTATTAAAAAAAACGTTGTGAAATATTTTTTAATTAAATTAATGTAAAAATAACATTTTGCAACATTTTTTACATAAAAAAATGTGAAATATTATTTTTTAACTAAATAAAGATTCCGGATATTTAATATAAAGGTCATAATGGACTTTTAACCAAAAACACCCCTTTTTGCTGAAACTCAAAAAATTATTTTTTGTAAATATCTCAGCATCCAGTGATTCAATTTTGATAAACTTTTTTTTTATTTTGTAGCCCTCATTTATATTTATATATGCAGGATCCCGCTTACTTATAATAAATATCACCGTAGAAAATTGGCCCTTTACTAATAGTTTTTACCTTACTTTTTTCTTAAATTCTATTGGTTAATTGGCTAAAAAGGAAAAAAATCATAATAATGTAACATAAAATTTCCTTTTATAGTAGATCTGCAAAGAATTTTATATATGATTTTTACCTTAGGCCTGAGGGTAACACTGGTCGAATAATGAAGAATCAGTGTATTAAGAGCCGGCTAGGAATCAGGACCAATCAGGTTTTTGGTTCTTATCTGGCCCTTATTTTTTTTTATCATTGAAAAATCAGTATCCTGATAGGTCTATGAATTTTACTTTATTAGAAATTGATAACTTTTAAACTAATCCATTTTTTAATCAGCAAAAAATAAACAATATCAGTTTTCTGATTATTGATAAATAAAATTCTGATATATCATTAGTCTGTTAAAAGTATCAGTAAATCATCAAATGGTTGATAGTATAATATTTATTATCATAATTTATAATTCATTAACATGTATAATTTATATAAACAATTAATTAATGGTATTTTCACTGGTCAAAATCTATGCTATCGGGTATATATCAGGCACCTATATATCGGTGACTAATCAGATATATATCGGGCATTTACATATATTGGGTATAACATCGGGTACCCAATATGGCAATATGTCACCGATATACACGCACTGGTATATTTCGGGTACCTATATAATCAGATATATATCGCCCAATATGTCACCGATATATTTCTAATATATATGTATTACTTATCTCCTGGCTAATTAGGAATAAGTAAAATTTTACTAGGATTGGATAAATGATCGGCCGAAGGCCGATCATGTTCCGATTCTAAGTAAAATTTTACTATTCCAATTAGCCAGGAGATAATTGATTTATCCCCTGCCATTTACACAATAGTAAGTGTTTTATAGTATATTGTGAGTATAATATAGTAT